GTGGATTCACCATCCCTGGAGGTTTTCAAGCTGAGACTGGATGTGGCACTTAGTGCCACAGTCTAGTAATGACAGTAGGGTTAGACTCGATGATCTTTGAGGTGTTTTCCAACCTGGTTGATTCTATGATTCTGTTACAGAAAGTATCATTAACTCAGAGAAACACACAAGCTGGCAAAGGATTTTAATTTCTTTCACTGTCTCTGGAAAACAAGAAAAAGGAGAGGAAAGCAATGATGAAAAAATCTATAGCTTTCTTGGAGAGTACCACTGCTCTTCTGTCTTAGGTGGCTGTCAAAGGTGACTATTAAAATTCCAGCTCCAAACAGGACCAGAATTAAGTTACTTTCTCAAATCCCTATGCAATTGCTAATCATATCAATGGGTAAAAGAAAGAAAAGAAAAAAACCCTACATATTTGCTACATAATTACTTCCTCCACAGAATGTCTCCTCTTTCTTAAAAAAACAATTATTACTTCCATTTCTAATATTATTTTACTCATTTGCAACAAGGTCAACATGAAGATCACTAATTATCAAGTCAGATGCAGAGGATGAATTTAAATGCAGACTGAACTATAGGCATTTCCAATGTCCACTTTTAATATGAGGTGCAGCAATAAACATGCTCAGATTATGAGCTGTATGTTAACTGCAGTTCCTTCGCAAAATGCTATGGTTAACATGGTAACAAGGACTTTTTAAGAGAAAGAGGAAGTTTATGAAACATGCTTAACCCTTTGTGAGAATATTCAGTGTTGGAAGGGACCCAGAAGGATCAACTAGTCCTACTCCTGGTCCAGCACAGGACATCCCCAAGGATCACACCATGTGCCTGAGAGCATTGTCCAAACACTCCTTGAGCTCTGTCAGGCTTGGAGCTGTGACCACTGCCCTGGGGATCTGTTCAGTGCTCAAAAACCTTCTGGAGGAAGAAGCTTTTCCTAATACACAGTCTAAACCTCCCCTGCACAACTTCAGACCATTCCCTTGGATCCTGTCACTGGTCACAGAGAGCAGAGGTCAGTACTGCCCCTGCATTGCCCCTTGTGAAGAAGTTGTATACAGCCATGAGGTCTCCCCTCAGTCTCCTCCAGGCTGAACAGACCAAGTAACTTCAGCCACTCCTCATACGGCCTGTTTAGTTTACTCCTGAGCTTGCAAGCCAAAGCTAAGTGAGGTTTGCACAGAAGAGCAGCTGGTTTCCACAGAGCAGCTCTCTTCTCACAGCACCGGGACATATGACACATGAAGGCCAAACTACATGGAGTGTTATCACAGAATCATCAAGGCTGGAAGAGACCTTTAAGAACTTCAAGTCCAACCATTAACCTGCGACTGCTGCAACCCCAAAGCACATCACCCAGCGTCACATCCAGATGCCTCTTAAACACTTCCAGGGATGGTGACTCCACCACCTCCCTGGGCAACCTATTTCAGTGCCTGATCACCCTGACAGGGAAAAACATTTTCTAATACATACTCTGAATCTCCCCTGACTCAGTGTGCTGGTTTGGGAAGCAGTGAATTAATTCCTTGTTTTGCTTTGCTTGTGTGTGCAGCTTTTGCTTCCTCTATTAAACTGTCTTTATCTCAACCCATGAGTTTTTCTAGTTTTTACCCTTCTCTCTCCCATCCCGTTGGTGGGGAAGTGTGTGAGTGGCTGCTTGGTTCTTGGTTGCTAGCTGGGGTTAAATCGCGACACTCATGGCCATTCCCCCTAGTCGTCTCCCTGCAGGTACGACAGAAGAGACCGGGCAGACCAACCAGATCAACACCCTTTCACGTCGCGGCAGAGAGCGATAAGGTCACCGCTGAGCCGCCT